GATATTTTATTTAAATTTGAATTCCACCATCTGCCATGGCGGGATTCGAACCCGGGTCCCCAGAGCTTTATCTGGGTGTCTGGATTAACAGTCCAGCGATGATACCGCTAGGCCGTTGCCTTCCCATCTACTGGAAGTAGCCACTCAGATAAAGCTCAGCTAGGGAAGGAGGTTTAATATCTGGGCTATGTGATATCACAAGATAAATGGATTCTTTTCCACAGCCAGATGGAGGATATTGAGAGAAAGCAAGGCCGATGGATGAGTTACGTGACAGGCTATGGTACTGTTTAACTGTCATAGAATCTTTGTGGATTTGCTGCACTCATACAATAATTGACAAAAGTGGGGAGCTGAAGGGGGTTCAAACAATTGCAGTTAGTTAAGGGTTAAATTTTCAGTCAGATTGTCAGTAAAAACAAGAGCAAATGGAAAACTGAGACTCTGCTGGCTAACTGGCTAATGTTTGAAGAAATACACCTCCTTTTGTTTCCAATCTTGCAAGGAATGAAAGCATGAACAAGGATGAACACCCATGAAGTTTCTATGAAAGAACTAAGATTTAAACAAGTAACTTAACATGAAAGAGAATCCATCAGTTTGAACTGTGAAATATCTAAAGGAATTTGGCAGTTAATTTCAGAAACTGGAGGTACACAAATACAAAAATAAAATGAAAATGCAAGAAATCTTAGTACCTGGAATCAAATAGGAATGATTTACTTATATTTTAAGAATATTGTAAGAATATTTTATTGGGAAGTAAGTGTCCTCTAAGATACATGAATAGAATAGTAATAGTTAAAAGAGAAGATAGAAACTATGTGGTACAGTTGGTATTATCTGATTGAATATATCAATACAACGTAAAGTTTGGACCGGAACAATTAAAACCTGGGAACTCTAGTTAGAATATCCACAAGTTGCAAGTGGATTGGAAGAAAGAGAATGGTAGGATCTTTTAAGTTAATCAGATTCAGTCGTTAAGGCATTTGCGTTTTCAGTGCCTGTAATTAACAGCTGGCAATAATTTCTGCTAGAGAATGTTACAGAGTGAGGCAATCTGTAGGTAAGCAATACCATCACAGACAGAGTGGGAGCAATCACATCTTCAGGTACATATAAAGATACAGAACCTTGAAAACAAATTGAAATATTATATTCTGTGTCCAGATTGTGTGTTGTTTATTTACCTGTGTGTTATAGCACTCAACAGGCTCACATTTACACAGACAGTAGGTAGCATGAAACTGATGGTGATACGTTACATCAGAAGGAAGATATGCACAACAACATGAAGCAATAGTTAAGGAATTTGTAGAAGCTGCTTTATTACCACTAGAGGCAGCAGTGATAAAGATTAAAGGAGGGAACAGACCTCCTCTAACTGGGTAACCAATAGGCAAACGGGGCAGCATCAGGTGGCAGCTACAGCAGTTGGGTTGGAGAAACATTGCAGTTTTACGCAGGAATATGAAAGAGGAAAAAGAGCTTGTCAGGAAAGTCAGGGTTGACTGGTGAGAGAGAGAGTGAAACAATTTGTGTGGGAGCTGTTCAAACAGCTGCACAATGTGAGGCAGGAGGTTAGTGATCAGCAGCTCTTGCCTGATGTACAGGAAATGGCAAGAGCAGAACAGGCTGAGGAACAGTGTGGAAGATAACATAATAGGCAGGGTCACACCTGACAGGCTGAGGCTTGCACCTAGGTGGATGAGGCCAGACGAGGTAACAATGTCCAGTGATAAGTGTGTCTGTGTGGATATTAGTGGAAAATGGCACTGGAAACAGCTGAAGTATTTTACTAATTAATTTTAACTTTTGTATTGCAAAACTAATCTCAAGCGACTGGTGATGGCTGGGCCGGTTATTTCTTTACAGCATGTTACCCGCCATACCATTACCCATGGGATTGGTAATTCTAGCAAAGGAAACAGGGAATACTGTCTGAAAAATATTACAGACAGGACTATGGTATACCATAAGCAGTCTGGAATGCAGCACCCAATGTGGGCCACTGAATGCAAGAATGGGAGAGCAAGTAAAATTACATTGTTTTATGGATCTACACAAGAAGGAAACAAGAGGCACAAATAATTGATCCACGCTGTCTCACATTAGGCTCAGGGCCAGACAACGGACTTGTGCTGATTATCGATAAGATCTGGAATAATTTTTTTTTAATAGGATCCCCACAGCGTGGAACCAGGTCATTCGGCTCAACAAGTCCACGTTGACCCACTGAAGAGCAACCCACCCAGACCCAGTCCCCTATCCTATCCCTGTAACCCTGCATTTCCCACTGCAAGCATTCCTAATCTATACATCCCTGAACACTATGGGGCAATTTAGCATGGCCAATCACCTAACCAGCCCATCTTTGGACTGTGGGAGGAAACCAGAGCACCCAGTGGAAACCCACGCAGACATGGGGAGAACATGCAAACTCCACACGGTCAGTCACCCGAGGTTGGAATTGAACCTGATGCTGTGAGGCAGCAGTGCTAACCACTGAGCCACCAGGCCAACCCATAATGATAATGTATGCTGTGAGCTGGTACCCATGGTTCTAATCACTTCTGACATAACATTGCCCCTTGGGTATTCAATTCACACTCAAGCACTGTACATGACCTTAATGGATCAGTTAAAGATTTAAGTAGCACATTTCACCTGTGGAACATGTCCAGTGACCCAGAGAAAGAATAGGCTTAAGTGTGACCTGATAAATTATACTGCAACACTACTTATTATGACAGTTAATTTCATCAACCTAGTTAATATGGGCCAGAAGGTTCAAAGCCTACAATTACAGCTTAAGAAAATGTTAGAAAAGAGACAAAAGATCCAGGACACCCATTTAGGTATAGATGAAAATCTGACACAGATAGTTTACAGCATTAACATTATGTTGGAGGGTCATGTGGGCACTATTACCAAATTAATTGAGGTATGTAAAAAGTATTTTGTATGATGTTTGCAGTACCTTTGGATTATGGGTACTTGTACAAAAATGGGAGAATCTGAGACAGATTTTTGGTCTCTCAATGAACTAATCGATTTAAGGAGCAGGTGGGAAAGTGGAATTGAATCTGAAGATTAGCCATGATCATATTGAATAGCAAAGCTGACTCAATAGGCTCAACAACAATTATATAGCAGTTGCACGTTATCAGAAATATATGGAAGAACTAACATGGAAAATGTAATGAGTAGTAATGTATTAAATTTCGATTTGGATGTGCTAAGAAACATATTTCTCTAATTAAAATGTAAAAATTGTTTAATTAAAGCTATCTACGTAGTAAAAGTCAATGAAAATCAGCTTTGCAGATTCAATTCTTCATTATATATAAATGCCACACTAGGAAGTACTGTACAAGATTGTAAAGTTATTGATAATCCTAATAAGCAATTTAAGTATATTTGAACATTTTTTAGGTTAAAAAATGTAGACAATTGATTTCATCCAAAGTAATCTCAAAAATCAGTTTCCTTTGTAGAATAATCTTTCGATAGTCCCTAATAGTAGTCAAAGCAATGATCTTCCTGGAATTATTTCCCATATTCCGTGAAAGGTCCTGTTGCAACCATTTTTTAATATAGAGGTTTGCTTAACTGTTTTAAAAAAAAATCTTGTATAAAAACCCTAATTGGCTTGTCTTCAGTGTGTAACTTTTATGGCATAAACCTCTAGTCTAAGTTTACAACACAAGGTGGCACTGCTGTCTTTTTTTATGACATCATATTTCTTTTTTAGATGTAGTGTATTGGAGTACTACAAATTAATGTAATTACTTAAATGAATATGCATCTAATTCATCTGCCATGACTCGTTTTTATTTCAACGAGCTGATATGTAAACAGAGATGAATTGATATTCTCTATTTTCATAACAGATAAGATTTCAGCAGTTCACCTGCAGTTACTGATTATTAGAAGTGTTAGTTGCCTGGTTAATCATTTGTGGGATTTATCTGAATTGAATCCACTCCATGGCCATCGTCCACACACACATTAATGTGGAAGCAGGAATCGTGGAGAACTTTCTTGTTTTCATATCCTAAGTTACTTGTTATTCTGCTACATCTAATGTTTAAAGTTAGTTATAAAATTGTGATAATTTATTAGGTTCTAATTCAGCAGATATATAACTGCAATTTAATGCTCCAAACATACTTTGTGGTAAAAACTATTGTGTTTCATAGAATCCCTACAATGTGGAAACAGGCCCTTCGGCCCAACAAGTCCACACTGACCCATCCCTCTATAACCCACCTAAGCTCCACATCCCTGAATGCTATGGGCAATTTAGCATGGTCAATCCACCCAGCCTGCACATCTTTGGACTGTGGGAGGAAACTGGAGCACCCGAAGGAAACCCACGCAGACACAGGGAGAATGCAAACTCCACACAGACAGTAGCCAGAGGGTGGAATCGAACCTGGGTCCCTGGTGCTGTGAGGCAGCAGTGCTAACCACTGAGCCACTGTGCCGCCCTTGGGAAAGGTTGATTCATATCTTGATAAATGAATAAAATACAAAGTTAAACCCTTACCAAGTATCATTCTACCAAAATATATTATTCATTGCATGTCTGAGTTACTGCCCAAAACGAGTCAGTAGTGACGATCCAGAGTGTTAAAAATGGCAAGTATGTAAATTTGTGTTCTAAGTCAACTAAAAATTGCACTTGTCTAACCTGTATACATACAGTCTGGCAAATGCACAAATTCTGACTAATCACTATCCATGTCTCTTTCAGATTTAGTATGACATTAAAGTTTAGCCTGACTACTTTTATTAAAAATAACTTTATCATCACATGAAGTGCCTGCTCACAAGTGCAACGAAAAATTGGCTAACTTGCTTGCTTAGTTTTACTGCCAGGGTGTCTTCTGTGCATTAAAATTACAAATATAATGATTTGTTACCTCTGCTAACTCTTAAGATAAAAGTGACTGAAGTTAATTAGAGAACTAGAAGAATGTACTCTGTATTACCATAGGTTCATCTGTGTTTTTCTGGAACTGAACTAGTCGAACACGTGTTACATTTTCCATGTCCATGTCTCCGTTTGCACTTTCTGGTGAGTCACCATTTAAATAAGGAGAAGTTGGTGGTGGTGTCACTCTCAGTGCTTCATCACTGTATACTTCATGTGCCACGACGTCATGTGTCTGCAGCAAAGCCTAGTTATTTAAAACAAGATAAAACTGTAAATTTATATTGAATAAAGAAACATGTTTTGTTAATCATGCTATTGTCCTTTCATCCTCTTAACTGATCTCCTCTTTATGCACTATATTTTATTCTGGCATGTGGAGTACTTTAAACTACCTTCTTGCCCAAAGTGCGAGAAGAGTACAAGTAATTCTTCCTCAAATCTAATTTCTTCATTTTTAAAGCATGGGAAATGATTGCATACATAGTACCTAATTTAGAGTAGCAAATGGAAATTACATTTGTTAAAAGCTTTAATTTTTGTTTGCTATTGCAAATAATTAAATCAAGAATTTCAGAATTACCATTGGATCAATGAAGCCCTCAGAAGAGGTGATTCAGATTGGAGACAATGCAGTACCAAAGAGCATCTAACTATTACAAACAATGATCAGTATTTTAATGCTGAGTTCCCAACACTGCAACAGTCGCTGCAGATGTGATTCGATATTGCTTTGCTTGCTACTTCTTCATACTACTGAAGCTCTCAAAACTTAAAACACTAGCTTAGTTACATTACATTAAGAGCGTTTGTTAACTCGTAAACAAAAAGTACTGTAAAATTTAGAAAATTGCCAACGTTGAATTAGAACCTGGTGGTTAGAAAATGATTTTAACTTGCATGGTCAGCCACTAATGAAATACATGCTAACTGGTTTCCAAGCTGCCAAGTGGAAAGCCAGGATAGAGAAGTGGTTGTGTCATGAGAACAGTTGGGTCCTGAATATTGAGGGGTATATAACATTCAAGAACAAGAAGCTAGGTAAAGGTGGGCTTTAATCAAGGAGGTATTGGTGCAATAGTTAGAGGTTACATTGGTTCAGGAGATTATGATTTAGGTGGAGATGAGGAATAGTCAGGAAAAGAAATCACTAGTCCAAGTGGTTTATAGGCCCTCTAACAGTAGCAACAATGTAGGAGGAAATATTGTACGCAAAAGGAAATACTAGGTGCTGGCGATAAAGCGTTAACAATAATTGGGGAGATTTTAATCTACAAATGAATAGGAAAAATCAGATTGACAATAGTAGCCAGAAAAAGGAATTCAGATTGTGGAACCAAAAGATTAAGCAGGAGAAAGAAATTAGAGTATGACAGCTATCTAGGGCAGCCTGGGAAGGTAAGCTTTAGTTATAGAAGTCTTACCTTGCATGACTGCGGCCTTCAGTTGTTCAGCGGCGGGAGTCTGGGAGAGAGCGCGAGGGCAGCCTGGGAAGGTAAGCTTTTGTTATAAAAGTCTTACCTTGCGTGACTGTGGCCTTCAGTTGTTCAGCGGAGTAGGAGTCCCAGAGCGGGCATGAGTGGTCGGCTGGGTAACGGTTATCTTTCACCCAATAAATTTGGGAAGTAACTAATACCCGAGGCACTACATGTGTAGTGTCTCCCACCCTTCCACCTCCTCTAACCTAATAATAAAGACTAAGTGTGGTGAGCAGGTAAACTATTTGCATTTTTTTTTGTCATCTCTTTTGGGGAGGTCACTTAGATGCCTAATCCTCTGGGAGTGGTTCGGAAGGCAAAGCAGGAGTCTGTTTGAGTATGTAATGGAGTAAAGTTACTGGTGCAGAGAACACCCAAAGAGAGAACACTGCAAAACTAAAAGCAAACTAATTAATTTTAAATAATTAACTAAGTAGAGATGGCAGGTCAGGTGATGTGTTGTAGCTGTATGATGTGGGAGCTAGCTGATCCCATTGAGAACGGCAGTGACCACATCTGCAGCAAGTGTTGGCTGCTTGAGGAGCTCCGGCTCAAAATGATGAGCTGGAATCCGAACTCCAAACACTGCGGCACATCCGGGAGGGGGAGAGATACCTGGGTGCTGTGTTCCAGGAGACAGTCACACCTAGTAGATTAACTAATGTTAATTCGATTGGTGGGCAGGGACAGCAGTGTATGACTGCGAGTGAGGCAGGCAGAGGGACCCTGCAGACAGGAACACAGGAGCCGCAGCCCTTGACATTGTCCCACAGGTATTAGGCACTTGCTCCCTGCGTGGATGAGGAACAGGGCTGCAGGAAGGATGAATCAACTGACCATGGCACCATGGTCCAGGAGGCCATTCAAGAGGCGGGGAGCTAAAAGACAGATTGTAGCTGTAGGGGATTCCATCATCAGGGGGATAGACAGTATCCTTTGCAAGCAGGATAGAGAATCCCGCATGGTGTGTTGCCTGCCTGGTGCCAGGGTGCGAGACATCTCTGACCAGCTTGAGAGGATACTAGGGAGGGAGGGGGAGGATCCAGTTGTTGTGGTCCACATAGGTACCAACAACATAGGCAGGACTAGGAAAAAAGACCTGTTTCGGGATTATGAAAAACTAGGAACAAAATTAAAAAAACAGGTCTTTAAGGGTCATAATCTCTGGATTGCTGCCCGAGCCACGTGCAAATTGGCATAGGGAGGCAAGGATCAGGGAAGTAAACACGTGACTAAAAGAGTGGTGTGGGAAAAAGGGTTTCCTTTTTATGGGGCACTGGCATCAGTTCTGGGATAGCAGGGATCTATACCACTGGGATGGACTCCACCTGAACAGGGTCGGGTTCAGTGTTCTGGTGAAAAGGGGAAATAGGGTGGTCAATAGGACTTTAAACTAGTAAGCGGGGGGAAGGGAGGAGTGAGTGTACAGGGAGTATAACAATTAATGTAAGGCAAAGCAGCAGGTTAGCAGGTGACGAGGAAGCTTCAACTCCATTGGAAATTAGGAAAAAAGTTAAAGGGAAGGAGAACTCAAGAGCTGTTAGTAAGGGAGGTGATAGGACCCAAAAAGAAGGTCCAAAAACTGGAATAAGGGCACTTTATCTGAATGCTCGGAGCATTCGAAACAAGGTGGATGAGTTGACGGCGCAAATCATGGCAAATGGGTATGATTTAACATTACAGAGACATGGTTGCAGGATGGTCATGACTGGGAGTTAAATATCCAGGGGTATCAAACTGTTCGGAAGGACAGACAGGAAGGTAAGGGAGGTGGTGTTGCTCTAATTTTAAGGATGAAATGAGGGTGGTAGTGAGTGATGATATAGGTTCTACTGAACAAAAGGTTGAATCCATTTGGGTGGAAATTAGGAATAGCAGGGAGAAGAAGTCACTGATAGGTGTGGTCTATAGGCCACCAAATAATAACATTGTGGTGGGGCGGGCAATAAACAGAGAAGTAGCTATTGCATGTAAAAATGGTACAGCAATTATCATGGGGGATTTTAATCTACATATCGATTGGTCAAACCAGGTCGGTTATGGCAGCCTTGAGGAGGGGTTCATAGAATGCATCCGCGATAATTTCCTTGAACAATATGTAATGGAACCTACGAGGGAGCAAACTATCATAGATCTAGTCCTGTGTAATGAGGCAGGAATAATAAATGATCTCACAGTTAGGGATTCTCTCGGAAGGAGAGATCACAGTATGGTCGAATTTAAAATACGGATGGAGCGTGAGAAAGTTAAATCCAGTACCAACGTCCTGTGCTTAAACAAAGGAGACTATGATGGGATGAGGGAGGAGTTAGGGAAGGTAAAATGGGAGCAAAAACTTTATGGTGGGTCAATTGAGGAACAGTGGAGGACTTTCAAAATGATTTTTCACAGTGCTCAGCAGAAGTATATTCCAGTGATAAGGAAGAACTGTAGGAAAAGAAATAGTCAGCCATGGATGTCTAAGGAAATAAAGGAAAGTATCAGATTAAAAAAAAACATACAAAAAAGCAAAGATTAGTGGGAAACTAGTAGACTGGGGAATCTTCAAAGGGCAACAGAAAGCCACAAAAAAAGTTCTAAAGAAAAGTAAGATAGATTATGAGAGTAAACTGGCTCAAAATATAAAAACAGGCAGCAAAAGTTTCTATACATACGTAAATCGTAAAAGTGTGACGAAGGTAAACATCGGTCCTTCAGAGGATGAGAAGGCCAATTTAATAACTGGGAATGAGGAAATAGCCGAGGCATTAAACAGTTATTTTGTGTTGGTCTTCACAGTGAAAGACGCAAATAACATGCGGGAAACTGATGGCAAGAAGGTTATAGCTGGTGAGGACCTAGAAACTATCATTATCACTAAGGAGGCAGTGCTGGGCAAGCTTATGGGGCTAAAGGTAGACAAGTCTCCTGGCCCTGATGAAATGCATCCCAGGGTACTAAAGGAGGTGATGGGGGAAATAACAAATGCACTAGTTATTATGTATCAAAATTCACTGGACTCTGGGGTGGTTCCCGCAGATTGGAAAACAGTCAATGTGACGCCACTGTTTAAAAAAGGAAGTAGACAAAAAGCAGGTAACTATAGGCCAGTTAGCTTAATTTCGGTAGTGGGGAAAATGCTTGAATCTATCATTAAGGAAGAAATAGCAAGACATCTGGATATAAATTCTCCCATTGGGAACACCCAGCATGGGTTCATGAAGGGTAGGTCATGTTTAACTAATTTGGTGGAATTCTTTGAGGACATTACTTGCATGGTGGACAATGGGGAACCTGTGGATATGATGTATCTGGATTTCCAGAAGGCATTTGACAAGGTACCACACCAAAGGCTGCTACATAAGATAAAGTTGCACGGTATTACAGGTAATGTATTGGCATGGATAGAGGATTGGTTGACGAGTAGAAAGCAAAGAGTAGGGGTAAATGGGTGTTTTTCTGGTTGGCGGTCAGTGGCTGGTGGTGTGCCTCAGGGATCAGTGTTGGGACCGCAATTGTTTACAATTTACATAGATGATTTGGAGTTGGGGACTAAGTGTGGTGTGTCAAAATTTGCAGATGACACTAAGATGAGTGGTAGAGCAAAGTGTGCAAAGTCTACAAAGGGATACAGATAGTCTAATTGAGTGGGAAAAGGTCTGGCAGATGGAGTACAATGTTGATAAGTGTGAGGTCATCCATTTTGGTAGGAATAACAGCAAAATGGACTATGTTTTAAATGGTAAAAAATTGCAGCTCGCTGCTGTGTAGAGGGACTTGGGTGTCCTTG